TTATATCTTTACAGGTCTGTGAATGATGTAGGACCTCTAACAGTGTACAGCAGAAGCACTCCTGTTGATTGGGGTGCACACTGTACACCTGCCTGATGGTCTCACTTCTGAAGACAGCATTTTCTTCCAAGCCCTCAACTTTTTGCTCCTTGCTTGTGCCTGTTCCATCTATTGTGTGCCTCTGTGTAATAGACGGGACCCTCAACATACATCAGTGTTCAGGCAAATGGGTCACTTTGGCCTAATTTAAAGAAAGCTGTCAAAGTGGTTTCTAATGTATTCTTAACTACATTTCAAGCAGTATCTTCTGTGAAATATACACATTGGCCATTTTCAAGATGAACAGCTAGATTCACCATTGTTGGTGCTGCGTGTGGATTTCAAAGCCCAGAATGTGTCACATTGCCTCGTTAGATGAAAAATGTATCTGCCCAACTGATAGATTGTATATATAGATTTCAATATTGAATAGAATGAAAGGTTTAAAAAACATTTTAGTATTAAATTTTTTATTTCAGTCCTGCTTTTCATCACAATTCAAATTTATATAGTCTAATTAAACTGCTGTAATTAAAAGTGAAACTTAACAGGGACGACTATGTAGCTCATTCTGATTAAGGACATTTGGATTTTTTAAGAGAGTATATAGCAAAAAGGGTCCTTCAAATAGGTTGTTATTCCACAGACAACAACAATAACCACAACCATGATATGCTTTTTTAAGGGTAAATATGAGTTTACGTAAAGTTTCTATTTGCAAATATGCTCAATTTAAATGTTATTTTACATTTAAATGACTGAATGGATCAAGCCAATTTCTTTGTATTTAATAAATTTCTTTGTGATTGTATTCAAAGAAAGATTATGCTGAATTAATTAATTAATTAATTAATTAATATGTTAAATAAAGATTTTATTTAGAAAATAATCTGGGATTTTTTTCATATGCTGTCCCTTAATTTTTTAAAAATTATCCAAAGATCCATATCTGTCTGGAATTTTAAGCTTTTTAAGAGTTATTATTTCAAAACACGTGTATATAATTTCTAAAAAGCTTGTGAGACCAATTATCTCCCTTGCTTAAACACGAGTAAACAGCATTTTGCATCGAGCTGACAGTGAGCTGCGATCTAGGAGCCCTTGCAGTTCCATTATAGATTTTTATAGAAAAAAAAAACAATTAGCCTAGTAACAAACTGGATGTTAGTTTGACATGTATTCAAAGTTTCATCAATATTAATTCAGAGGTTTAGGCAGCAACTTGATTTAAACAGAAACTGCTATTTGTATGTGTATATATATACACACACACACACACACCGTGCTATCTTTAATTATGAAACAACAAAGCTAATACATGATTACAAAAGGATATTATTGAAAATAAATAAACACAACATGTCTAAATTGTTTAATCAGACATGTTTAAATGAAAATCATATATATATATATTATAAATTGACTTACTTAAAATGTTTTTTTTCGCTACACAGTTCTAACCATGTTTCAAAAATGGAAGCTAAAAGCTTACGAATTTTAATTTTGTAATTAAATTAAAGACATTAGGTTCCATTTCATTTAATGGAATTTGATAACTTTTAAAATTACTAGGTTTTAAAGACACAGCTAAATTTACATTGAGCACTATTTTGTAAAAATAAAAATATCTATAAGAACACCGCATTATATATCTTACTGTTCTTTCTTTTTATTTATATATACATATATATATGACTTGTTCTCATTCGCTGATTGAGAACTATGGTGAAAGGGAATTTTTAAAAAACAGTGGCTGCTCCTTTTCAGTTATGAACTGAGTGCTCCGGCTGCTGATGTTAATATACATCACATATATAATACATTAAAAGATTCCTTTTCTCTGCAGTGTGGGAATAGCTTAGGGGTAGAGTCTCTAACTGATGTCAAATTGATCAAGTTTCAATCCCAGCTTAAAGCAAGCAATTGAATGTCTAGCCACACTGATCATCTAAAACAGGCTTGTATGTGGAGATATATTATAATAAAAAGAAAGAATAGGATATATAATCCGGTGTTTTTACTGATATTTTTTATTTTTACAAAATAGTGCTCAATGTAAATTTACAGAGCATAAATATTATAAATTAACTGATTGAAAATATGTTTTTTTTCGCTACACAGTAATAACCATGTTTTAAAAATGGAACTAAAACAGTTAATTATGAATTTATATGTGCATTTAAAACTCAGTAAATTTAAAAATAAGTTATTCCAATATTCGCTTGAAGATAAAACAGAACTAATGCTTTTAATTTAATTATATAATTAAATTTAAAGTTTTTAACCGATTTTTTAAATATGGTTATTACTGTAGTAAAAAAGATTTTCAATCAGTTAATTTATAATATATATATATATATATATATATAAAATGAAATGTACTTTGTATTTAATTTTTCTTGTGTTCATATAAGTGTTTTCTTTTCTGGACATAAAATGTGTAAAAACTGCTTGAATGTTT